TATCAAATGACACATGTACGTCCATCCATGCATGTGAGTTAATTTTGTATTAAATAATCTGTATTTTTATTTTTTATAAACTCTTCACTTTCCAACAATAAAAAACTATAATTTTTATTAATTTTTTATAAATTCTTCACTTTCTGACTATGTTAAAACTAATTTATTTTTTTGACGTATCTTAAAAATATGCACAATTATTTTATAATTTCAAAAAATTTATGTATATAATTTATTGATTAAAAAGATGTTGCTTATAATTTTTAAAATTATCCATCATATCAAAAAAACTAATTACATATAAATTTTATCACACGTGCATCTTTATTAAATTCATAACATATTTTAGTTGTTTTTCTTATTACATTACTTATTTTATTATATTTTTTTCACAAACTAAACAAAGTAAAAGTTTAATTGAAGGATTACATGTGGCACATACAAATATGCATTATCTAATGATGTGTCATTCCTTAATTGATCTATTTGAGATTTTTTTTTAATTTTTATTAATTAAAACAATTTTCATTATTATTTTATTTGGTGACCATTAATTTTGCATAAAATGTTTATGTCATGCACGCACTACACCTCCCCACATGTCATGTGGCACATGTATATATTTATTATTATTAAATTTTTATAAAAACTTCACTTCTTACATTAAATAACTTAATATATAGATTATTAATATATAATTTGTATTATTTTTTAATATACAAATTACAAGATAAAATGGATTAAAGAAGTGCATTGGATGGTGTGTCAAAAGTTAAGTGGACAAACACAGTATGACAGAGGGAGTATTATTTATGAGTTTTAACAAAAAAATTAATTAGTCTCAAATAATTTTGAAATAGGAACTTAAGTTATAAGTAGTTGAAGTTTGTGACTATTCAGTTTTTGAACCTAGCATTGCTCTAAATATTATGAACAAAACCAGCTGCCTGTAAGTTAGATACCATGCCATGTCATCTTAAAATTTGATTTCATTCAATTTAATTTTATGAAATTTCAGTTCTAATTAAATTGTTATTTCTTAGAATTGAATTATGATTCGTTTGTATGTTTTCATTAAATTATGATTATTAGATTGCGTGATTGGCTTGTTGGAATTGAACTTGGATTTGAGATTTGCAACATTGATTTGGGGTTGAATTGAGTATATTAGCTTGCATTATCATAATCATCAATTAACATAACATCCCATAGCAAATAGAGGTCTAGCTACGAGTGTTAACACTCTAGCTTACCATCATGCATCTGGAAGGTCATTCTAGTTGTCAAAACATCATTTTTATTCCAAGAAATCATTTATATATTAATCATAATTGATTGGTAACAAAAATATGATTTTAAAGCTCAAAAATAGTATTTTCGGAAATATTATCGGAGCAAAATTTCGGGAGATCAATCTAGTGCTCTAGATATATCCAGGCTAGAGAAAATGTCCCCAGGTGATCGATACAGTGGGGTGGATCGATCCACCCTGCTGGTTTTCAATCATTGTTCATCTTTTTCAACATTCGGGTCCAATTTTGAAAATATCATTTTTAGTCATTGAACTTTAATTAAATTATATAGAAATGTTCTAAACGGTTCATAGATTATTTTGGTATCATTAATTCATAGTTTTAACAATTATGGTAATGTTTATGATTCTTAGTTTTTCAAGCATGTCAAACATAAAACTCAACCAAACGACTGTTTATGAACGTAGAAACGATCTATGCGAACATTCTAGTCACTAGATATATCTACGCACTTACCTCGAAGCTTATCGGAGGTTTTATAAATTTTCCGGCAAAACTTCTGGCGAACACCACGACTAGCTTTGGCGACCTCGACGACAACTAACTATTGCAAAATACTCTCATTATACTCTCAAGAACATTATGACACTAATTTCATTCAGTTTGGTGGAGAATTGAGAAGATTGGGTTCTTCTTTTATACTCCCTCCGTCCCAAAAAGTTTGTTATATTTAGAAAAAACTGCGTCCTGTAAAGTCCGTTACATTTCTATTAATAAACCACTTTTACCCCTTATTTTTTCATACCCTACCTATCATATCATACCTTTTTCCTAATAATCTACCTATCACATCCTACTTTTACCCATCACATCAAGGGTATTTTTAGAAAATCAATACCAAAATATCCCTTCCTTAATTTTCCAAAAAGTCAAACCGTCACATTCTTTTTGGAACGGAGGGAGTATGAAGGAAGAGGAGGAAGAAGACATATGCTGCGAAGTAGGGTTTGCGTATGAATTTCCCATTCAAGATTTTCATTTGGCGGAGGTACGATTTTAGTTGATTCAATACGTTACTTCCCCGATTGGGACTAATTTGGTCACAGTTGGGGTACACTCTTTGGTCCAACTTTCTCCGAATTGAAATCCGTTACAATCGTACTGTTAAACTCTATACAACGATATAATTTTTATATTTATTTGTAATATTTTTTTTGACAAAAAAATTTTGGAGTGTTTGACTTTGATAGAGTCAAAAATTAATTTAATTGACCTTCATTCAAAAGGATTCTTTCATTTAATTTATATTATTTATTCTCATGATTTATCATGTCAAAATTTACATCATAAACACATTATTTATTTATTTTTAATTTGGGTATGTCCTCGGGTTTCCAGTCAAGGTAACATAATAGGCAACATATGAGATTTATATCTATGAGAATAATCTAGATTATTATATTGTATATGAGATCATATTTTATTTTGGCTCAAATCTTAACAATAAATTATTTTAATCAAACAATTTGTTTATTTGCGATTTACAACGGAGGGTTTCCAACCGTTGGTCTGAAGTCCAACGGTTTGGGCCCACTAAGATTGGGTTGTTTAGTGGCGACGCCTAACCACATCATTATCTGTATGACTGCTACAAAAAATAGGTTACAAATAGTGTGGCTAGAACAACTCTGCCACACTATTTGAATTTAATGGCTATTTATAAGTCCGTTTTGTACGCACTTATCTTCTATATATTTAATGTGTTATTTTCCAATTTTGAATTAATGGTTTTATAAGTTTTCATTCATAATTGTAAGAGTGTACAAAAGTTATGTCTTATTGTAAAAAGAATAAATTGAGTCAAAAATAGTACAAAAAATGTAAAAGAGAGGAGAGAAGAGAAAAAAAAATTGTAATTGAAAGAGGTACTCCGTATTTCCATAATATATACGGAGTATTATACTCCCTAGAATGTTTTTTACAACTAACACGACAATGTGAAGTGTGAAGTACGGAGTACTTCACAAGAAGAATCTAACAAGAATCGTACTCACGCGTTATGTCTTCTTTTCTTACTAGACTCGTACCCGTGCGTTGCACGGCCTAATTATGAACTACTAGTATATAATTAGGAAAAGCATTGATGAAAGAAACTGATAAAAATAAATAAAAATAAAAATACTCCCTCCGTCCTATAATGATCTTCCCAGAGCACTATTCCAACTTCACGGGAATTTATATTTATTTGTGTTTTTTCATGGCCTATATGATAAAATAAAATATTCTTGTCACCGCTTGTTTTGTTGAACTTTTGGTGTAGTTTTTAAATATGTATGTTTTATTTTTTATTTCTATACCAATATTTAAATAAAATAGATTGAAAAAACTTGGGATTTTTCTTCGTTTTGCGAACCGGGAAGATCATTATAGGACGGAGGGAGTATATAATCAAATATTAAAAAATTTTGAATACTATACATGTTCATCGCAAAAGATCATTTCCATTGAATCTTCTCCTTTTGTCCAAGTCCGAACAAAGTAAACACAAATGGCTCGTAACATAAGCAATCAAGTTGCTCGACTTATATAAATATCGGCAAGTGCATTCCACACTCTTTGAATATTTTGAGACATTTTTCGAAAGTGCATTCCACATCCTTCCCATTGATTTATTTTTATTTGACATAAAGTTTGCATCGAGTCACGCATCAACTCTACTAGGGATGCGATTCCATAGTAATACATTATCCATTTATTTATTTTGAATTGACATAAAGTTTGCATCGAACCACGGACCAATATTGTTACCCACGCGGTTCCATATCAATATACTACTCATTTATTTAATTTGATTTGACATAAAGTTTGCATCGAGCCACGCATTAACATTACTACACACGCGATTCCATATTCATACACTACTCATTTATTTATTTTGATTTGACATAAAGTCTGTATCGAGTCACGCACCAACTTTACAACGCACACGGTTCCATATCAGTCCACTAACCATGAATTAGGCCCAATTCAACATGCTCAAATCCAAATGGATAATCGATTAATTTAGGCGAGAACACTATTTAAAAAATCGTCTTAGCTTTGTATATAAGTAGATTAGATTAACTTTGAACTTACCAATTCTTTCCAGCAACGATTTAAAAATATGTTTATATATGATTAATATAAGATGTTATTACATATCAAAGTCTATAACATATATCACATCAATCATGAACAATTATAAATTTCTTTAATCTAAACTTAAAACTTTTTACATATTGATTTGGATGATCATTTAATTGAATGATCTTTTAACTCATAAATTCTTCCAATATTTTCTAATTTTTTCTCATTTTTTTCAACTCCTTGTTTCTTTCAAGATCTAACTGGAATTTTATAAGTCTATTTTGTACGCACTTATCTTCTATATATTTAATATGTTATTTTCCAATTTTGAATTAAACAAATCAATTTTTCAATGATTTTATAAGTTTTTATTCATAATTGTAAAGGTGTACAAAAGTTATGTCTTATTGTAAAAAGAATAAATTGAGTCAAAAGTAGTACAAAAAATGTAAAAGAGAGAAGGAATGAGAGAAAAAAATTGTAATTGAAAGAGTACTCCGTATTTCCGTAATATATACGGAGTATTATACTCCCTAGATTGTTTTTTACAACTACGCGTTATGTCTTCTTTTCTTATTTTCTTAAAAAGGAAGAAAAAGAAAAAGAAAATATAATCTGCATCTTAAATACTCCGTAGATCAGATCTTTGGGTACCACAGAGCCTCCAACGCACCAACTCGGTTGAAACATTCACGGATTCCATGGCGGAGACGAGGGTGATCGGAAGCGAGGACAAGATAGATCGCCATACGGCAATTGACCCCCCCATAAAATTGCAAGATCTTCATCTTTTTGTTTTCTTCCGGTAAATTAAAACAAAACCTTCGAAAATTGTGTCTACCCAAGAAATATTAAAGTTTAATTTTTATCTTTATACATATCTGAGTTGTGTTCTAGCGCTGTACAGATGGTTTATTATTATTATTATTTTATTTTTTATTATGATTTACTTTAAAATTTATCTAGCTTTTGTTCATGTTGTTTGAATTGTTTAGGCACCGATCTGCAAAAGCTCACAGTCTTGGTTAAAGGTTTACTTCAAACTTTGGGTTTGATTTTGAAATCATGTTCTTTGTTCCCTCTTTGTTAGTTTTTACTTCAAAACATTGGTTTCATTTTAAAGCTCTTTTATTTCATGTTGTTTTATCTTTAAGTTGCCAACATGTAAAATCGTATTTGTTTGTTTTTACTTCAAAATTGTAGGCTAGGTCGAATAGTAAAGGCACTGATCTTTTGAAGCTCCAATCTTTGTTAGAATTTGGGTTTCATTTTAAAGCTATCGTCTGTGCTTATAGGGTATTTGTTAGTTTTAACTTTGAAACTTGGCTTGAATTTCTCAAGATTTGGTTTTTGTTCACGTTGGTTAATTGTTAAGGTAAGAGCTAAGGTCTGTTAACTTTTACGTCACAATTTGGATCTAATTTTAAAGCCATGTTTTTTTTGTTTCACTCTAAATCTTGGGTTTAATTATAAAGTTCAGTTGTTTGTTCCTGTTGTTGAATCATATTCTGCAAAAGATCTGGTCTTTGCTGAAGTTTGATGTTGGTTTGTGTCTTGATTTTGTATATGTATCAAGATCGAACCTTAAGTTTATTGAAGTTCCTTTTTATGGTCTCTGTTGGTCTGGTTCACATTTTCCTCAAAAAATCATCTCTTTGTTACTTCAAAGTATTGGTTTCATTTTAAAGCTCTTTTATTTCATGTTGTTTTATCTTTAAGTTGCCAACATGTAAAAGCGTATTTGTTTGTTTTTACTTCAAAATTGTAGGCTAGGTCGAATAGTAAAGGCACTGATCTTTTGAAGCTCCAATCTTTGTTAGAATTTGGGTTTCATTTTAAAGCTATCGTCTGTGCTTACAGGGTATTTGTTAGTTTTTACTTTGAAACTTGGCTTGAATTTCTCAAGATTTGGTTTTTGTTCACGTTGGTTAATTGTTAAGGTAAGAGCTAAGGTCTGTTAACTTTTACGTCACAATTTGGATCTAATTTTAAAGCTATGTTTTTTTTGTTTCACTCTAAATCTTGGGTTTAATTATAAAGCTCGGTTGTTTGTTCCTGTTGTTGAATCATATTCTGCAAAAGATCTGGTCTTTGCTGAAGTTTGATGTTGGTTTATGTCTTGATTTTGTATATGTATCAAGGTCGAACCTTAAGTTTATTGAAATTCCTTTTTATGGTCTCTTTTGGTCTGCTTCACATTTTCCTCAAAAAATCATCTCTTTGTTACTTCAAAAAATTGGTTTCATTTTAATGCTCTTTTATTTCATGTTGTTTTATCGTTAAGTTGCCAACATGTAAAAGCATATTTGTTTGTTTTTACTTCAAAATTGTAGGCTAGGTTGAATAGTAAAGGCACTGATCTTTTGAAGCTCCAATCTTTGTTAGAATTTGGGTTTCATTTTAAACCTATCATCTATGCTTATAGGGTATTTGTTAGTTTTTACTTTGAAACTTGGCTTGAAATTCTCAATATTTGGTTTTTGTTCACGTTGGTTAATTGTTAAGGTAAGAGCTAAGGTCTGTTAACTTTTACGTCACAATTTGGATCTAAATTTAAAGCATTGTTTTTTTTGTTTCACTCTAAAATCTAAATCTTGGGTTTAATTATAAAGCTCGGTTGTTTGTTCCTGTTGTTGAATCATATTCTGCAAAAGATCTGGTCTTTGCTGAAATTTGATGTTGGTTTGTGTCTTGATTTTGTATATGTATCAAGGTCGAAACTTAAGTTTTTTTGAAATTCCTTTTTATGGTCTCTGTTGGTCTGGTTCACATTTTCCTCAAAAAATCATCTCTTTGTTACTTCAAAATATTGTTTTCATTTTAAAGCTCTTTTATTTCATGTTGTTTTATCTTTATGTTGCCAACATGTAAAAGCGTATTTGTTAGTTTTTACTTCAAAATTGTAGGCTAGGTCGAATAGTAAAGGCACTGATCTTTTGAAGCTCTAATCTTTGTTAGAATTTGGGTTTCATTTTAAAGCTATCGTCTATTCTTATAGGGTATTTGTTAGTTTTTACTTTGAAACTTGGCTTGAATTTCTCAAGATTTGGTTTTTGTTCATGTTGGTTAATTGTTAAGGTAAGAGCTAAGGTCTGTTAAATTTTACGTTAAAATTTGGATCTAATTTTAAAGCCATGTTTTTTTGTTTCACTCTAAATCCTGGGGATTAATTATAAAGCTCGGTTGTTTGTTCCTGTTGTTGAATCATATTCTGCAAAAGATCTGGTCTTTGCTGAAGTTTGATGTTGGTTTGTGTCTTGATTTTGTATATGTATCAAGGTCGAACCTTAAGTTTATTGAAATTCCTTTTTATGGTCTCTGTTGGTCTGCTTCACATTTTCCTCAAAAAATCATCTCTTTGTTACTTCAAAATATTGGTTTCATTTTAAAGCTCTTCTATCTCATGTTGTTTTATCTTTAAGTT